CCGGGTTGAATCCAACTCTCGCCTTCGCTCCTGCACCACCCTGCTCTGCCTCCTCTGGCTCCAGTCCTGAACTTAAACCTCGGAGGAGCAGAAAATAATTAGGAGAGAAAATTGCAGCTGACACTATTTCTGAAAAGCAGGGTATTGTAATGGGAGCAGAGCAGGTAGTCACTGTGTCTGAGGGAGCGATTGAAAGCCCTTGGTTTTCGCCGCTGCCTGGGAGAAGCCCAGGGAGGGTGAGCGGAGCTTTGACGAGTCCCGTAATGCACGTGGGAACGGAGCCTTGAGAGGACGAGGCCGAGGTGTCTCCGACAATGGCAGGAGCCAAGGTTACAGCTGAGTAACTTATTCGAACTGCTCCACAATGACACACACATCCACACATACTCTCACTTGTCTTCTTTGTCTCCCTCAATATGTCCGTCCCTCTGTCTCTTGCTTGCTCCTTGTTCCCATTATGAGAACAGAGGGATACCGTCCAGCCACAGCTCAAAGTTATCTTCATTAGCAGAGCCAACTTGCCGGAGTAGCTGCTCGGGGAAGCTCTTTCTGAAAAGATGAATAAATATTTTGCCCCACATTGGGCCGGCCTGGAGCGGTGGCAGGCTGCGAGGAGAGATAGATGAGGTATTAACTGTTGTATTTTTCAGCAGGGGCTGAAGAAGCCCAGTAGAGGGGTGGACAGAAGCAGATGCTGCCGCTGCCTGAATATTAAGCCTGTTAAATGAAATGGCCTCCATAAAGAAGCCCTAAAATAAGTTGAAATACAACATTATGTTCTACCTCACATCAGCCAGAACATGATAATGTTTTGGCTTCTATCTGCTGCTGGGTTTATTTTTTAGAACTGTCATTTCACCGAAAAAGAGTTTGAACTACGTACATGAATTGTTGTTTATTAAAGAAACACGTATTTTTTTTTCACTTTCTGCCTCCATGTTTTACTTTAAATATGTGCAATTTTCTTCCCTTTAGCAGTTGAAGGTGCTAGGATTTTATGTAAACAAATTTCACGTAGCCCCCACAACCCCATCCTTTTCCATGTATTTCTTTTATATTTTCAGTAATTAGTAAGTTCATCTTTTTATATTTATACTTTTTACCTTTCCTCCTCCTCTCAGTTTTCAATGTTCTATAATTTTTCTGCCATTCATGGTATTCCTTTTTCTCCTACTCCTAACTGTACTTATGTATCCATGTGTCTGTGGTACTGAATACTGCAGACTTCTGCAGTGTTGCTGCAAAAATCCTACTCCTACTGGAATTGTACATTATCAGAAGTACATAAAGTATGAAAGTGTGATTAAACCATACAAATTACAGCACTATTTATATTTGTCGAATTTTCCTGGAGAACAAATGGATACTAAACTGATCGTCCTCCTTCTTCGTTAGGAGGGATTTGCAGTGTTGCCGGCATCTGTAAAGTAGAACTCTGCTGGGAATTATGCTGGAATACCATTTAAAGAAGGAAATAAATTGATGTGCAAATTACATGTGGGTCATATCTGCACTTGTGGGAACAGAGATCTCCTTCTGGTTGCAACAGTAATGGAAATGTAGGAATTTATCCACCACTCAGTTCCCTGTGCCTCACATTTTGTTACCATATTTGAATTTTTGAAGTAAGTTTTTTGACATTTTGCTGTTGAGATACATATGTGTGTCCATGATGGATCTGTTTTAGTCTACTGTCTTCACAGAGCAGTCTGAAAACAACAGTAAATCAGGTTTTTGTATCACTTACGTTCCAGGCAATTGTCCAGATCAGTTCATTATCTCATTTATTGACACTGTGACCAATGGGGTCGTGGAGACTCAGTGACTCCAGATTAACACTTCCTGGGTTGTGGAGACTCAGTGACTCCAGATTAACAGTTGCGACACGAGTTGTCATCAGAGTAGTAAGTGATTTATGCAACTGAGAACAAGAGAAGCAGCAGTCATAAAAGCTACACTGTTATCTCCATTTTTTCCTGTTTAGCTTCAGAGATGAATCTCAGAAGACTAGGTTTTTACTCTCTCGGTTTCTCAGGTGCTCAGGCAAGATATCAGCCCCCTGTGGAGCACGGATCCCTGTGGTAAAACGGCATGACAGCATAAAGGGCAATATTAATTTTTCCTGTCCTTACTGACCACAGAAAGATCATAGTTTACTTTGCACCTGTTTAAGTGCAACTTTACTGCAGTTCTTCTCACAGATTTAAAGTAAAAAAAAACTCTTGATTTCGTTGCACAGTCCTGCTGCTGCTTTAACTTTATACCATTTATTATTTTCATCAAAATGACTCACTGTTGTGATCCTTTTGCCATCGTGTTCAGTGCAGGTGTGTTAAGTAAAAAACATTTTCATACAAAGGATTTTATATTTGTAAACATCCATTCAACATCATTCATTTATACGTGGACTATAACTCAACAGAGTTGGACTATTCAGGGATGCAGTGGACAACAATGAAGCCCAGCACAGTGGGCTCTGACTGCTGCTAGCACATAGATGTACTTTTCACAGCAGGTTGGCACTGTGCAGTGAGCAGCGTTGTACAGAATACAGTGGAAGGGTTTGCAGAACTGACAAAAGTGTCTGTCTCTCAGGCTCTGAGCATCAACATATATTTGCCATATAGTGACTATATGGGACATATGGATTTGTTTTTTTCCAATGTGTGAGCTTCAGAAATACATACTGTCACATTCACACTGGTCAGAAACTGTAGTTGAACTTAGCATTAGGGGTCTCCCCCTCCTGGTCATTTTGTTTTAAATATATGTATATCTTTCCTGTATTTTACCATTGATATTTAAATGTGTGAAGAACTAATGTAATGACCAAGAATAGTCTATTCATATTCAAATTATTACGTAGACAAAGTCATCGTGCGATGGAATGACTTGTGCATCTGTTCTTATCTTTGTTGCGTCAATGAATACATTAAGATTGACATTCTAGGAGTATTCTAAGTACTACAAGCTGCTGCTACACAAAGTACAAATATGTGTGATGGCTTAGCTCTTGACCTCGTAAATCCTACATCCTTTATCCATACGTCCTGTATCCAACAGCACTCATTCATGTAAATAATATATTCAGAAACAAGTACAAGAATGTACTGTATGTTCTTTATATACAGTGAATCTGTTCAAACAACAGTGGTAGCATTAAAGTGATTGTTATAACATAAAATCAGAGAGAGAGATAGAAGGAAAAGAGTCGTAGTAATATCACTTTTTCTATATGGATGTTTTAGTCTCACTAATTTAGTGGTTGTATTTTTAAATAAATTGCTTAACTAAAGGTTTTAAGGTGTTTTAAGGTTAGGGTGTCTAATTAATCCTAACTTTCTAATTAATAACATGAATCAGTCAAGAGTCCCTCATAATCCATTTGACTGTGTCCGATAACTAACCAATAACAACCACAGTGTTGAGATGATATTTTAGGTTCCAGGTGTTTAGGAACAACTTTTACCAGCAGTGTGTGTAAATAACAACATGTGAATCGACTGTGTGTCTGAGGCACAGTGTCGGTCACTGGCATTAAAACAGTAGTAATTCTGATGAATGCGTCCTGTGTGTGAGGATGATCCAGACTCCTGTTTAAACGATGCACATTGGAAGGAAACATGGAGCTTTCAGCCACGCGTCTTTGTCGGTTGCGTTAAGTGGCTCTTATTGTCCCAGTAGTGACCCTCCCTCCCTCCCAAATTCTTACCCCACCCCGCATCCACATCACTGTCACACTCGTGTTACTTTTTCGAAAAGCCATCAGGATTCGTCTCTGTCAAGCGCCTGTCCCTCAGTCCATTAAAGATGATTGATAGAGCTGGAAAAATCTTCCGCCCAGCTGTTGTCGTTGCCTCGTTCCTGAGAAATTGAAAGGAGCTCAGGAGAAGGACCATCCCTCATCAAAAGACCTTTGTCTGCACTGATGATGTGGAGCACAACTACATTTTTTTGGAGATAGCACATAACTTATCACCGGCTCCGCTCAACGTTTTGTTTTCCTCAGCTCTGTGTGTGAATAATAATTACATCTCAGGTGGAGACGGAGATTAGTCCAGTCACATCCCCTCTTTTATCAGGGGAAATAAAGTTAGATTATTTCTTTTATTCACCCCTGCTCTCTTTGTTTTATCGGCTGAATATGTAAATCGCACTTATCTAAACTCTTTACCATTTTCAGCTGTGATGGATAAGGTCTGACTGTTGTTCTTTTCACCACCCAAGTTTTAGCAGGAGGAGAAAAGAGCCATCTGTTTGTCCGATTGCGACTGTTCCTTCTCCTGTCTTTGTTATCCTCTAATGGCTTGTGAGGATTTTTACAGGACAACTTGAGGAGGATTTTATGATGTTTCACTGTGATTGATAACATGCTCTTGGAGGAATGTCAGGCTTTCAGAGACGGATAATGTGGATTTCTATCTCCCTGCCTTCTTTTGTCAGACACACCATCAATCAAGTGTATCGTGGCCTTAACCCGGTAAAATTAAAACCTTAGGAGGGCGGGGTCTGGTGGTCCCCACAGAGTCGGGACACTGTCGTATCAGGGAGATAGTGTGACAGAATCAGAACACAGATTACCATCGTAATAAGATCAGCGACAAAAACAGGGCAGATAGCAGGTAGTAAATACGGTTAATGATCGCACTGTATATCTGTGTTGACAGTGGGGAAGGATTACAGGAAGAATCTTGTCATTTTCGCCGTGTTGCGAAGGCGATATTGGATCCTTTGCCCGGCTAATTCGATTTCAAAGATCGTCAATATTTACCAGCTACAGATAGTGGACACAATGCACCTGATCTCCCTGCTGGGGGGGAACACACAGCTTGGTTATTTAAAATAGTAAAAAAATCAGTAACCACAGCCTTGACCTTTGAAGCATCAAACAAACAGCTAATCATCCCGGCTGTTTGAAATATGTCATCCTCATGCCTTTCTGTGTTTCTCACCAGGTTGTGCAGGTCTCACCTGTCTCTGTACATCTGTTTGTGTTTCAGTTGATGGCTGCATACACAAAGCAGCAGGGTCCTGTCTGTATGATGAGTGCCACTCGCTAAATGGCTGTGACACGGGCAAAGCCAAGATCACCTGTGGATATGATCTGCCTGCAAGATGTGAGTACCAGCATACTTCTGTGTATTGTTTTACTGCGTCCCCGTGAGGACTCTGTCCAACCAGAACTATAGTCACTGAACAATTTAGACTACATTCACACTGCAGGTCTTTGTTTCAGTGTTGATTCTTTGTTCAGATGATTTTGTTTGAAGTCAGCATCAGTTAATTTAATAAGGTTAGGACCCCTTTCCAGCTTCTGTCTCCCTCAGAACAGACTTGGAGGTCATTATTAAAATCATTATCAATTATTGTTTTGCATATGTGAGCATACAACATGCAACATTTTTATGAGCATTCTTTATTATAATTGAAATAATAATAGAACGGCAAACAGTTGTAACTTCAAACTAGTAACTTCTCCATTTTCAACAGATTTTTCCTAAAGATTATCCGATTCTGATGCTTTAAATTTAAAATGTAATTCAAATTCAGCAGCGGTTTCTACCCTAGGTCTGGGAGACAAAGATTTACTCCCTAAACCTTGAAATATATTAAATCCATAAATAGTTATTTTCTTCTAAATGTTCAAATGTGTTCCTCCTTTGTTTCTTGGAGCTTTTGCGTGAGTAATGCTTGTCCGTGGAACAAAAGGATCATATTTAGGAAGCTTGAAGGCATTTTGTCACCTTTTCTTGTCATTTCATGGATCATTAAAGGTAAGTACAGCTGTGTTTCCAGTCAATTCAGAAACATGTGGTGTTTGTTGCACAGCTCCAGTGTGTGTGCGTTCTGAGACTCTAGCATTATCTCATCTTACTTCCTTTGGAGGCCGGTAATTGTCCATAATACTTACGTAACACACTTTTGCCACAAGCTTTCCTTCCTGCGGCCTGGAAATGGAAGCATGACGGTCTGGGAGAGATGTCACTTGGTGTAATTCGGTCGAGACAAACGTCCCAGCAGTCTTAACCTAACCCTGAAGGATTTCTATGAGACAGCCAAGAGACGACATGGGGGCCCAGATGAAATTAGGTTGTGTTAATATGGTGTGTCGTAAAGATGTCAAACAAATGGAGCAGATAAACTGTGAGTCAGTGTTGTGGGCAGCCAGTTCAAGTGCGTGCGTCGCCAAACCGGGTGAATGCGGTGACAATTTAATAACTTGCAGTGTCATCTGGGAGCAATCACGCTGCCACAATGGGGCGTTGTGGTAATTATTTCAGGGCAAAACACCTTCGTTTTTCTGATAACGTTTCTATATAAATTGTTTGGTTCTTCACTCTTAGCAGTTTTTTTTAATTTATCAGTTTGTTTTTATATTGTTGCTATCTTTACTCAACGCCACCATCACCTCCTCGTCTCGTATCTCTGATCACTGTCATCATCTGCATTGTCTGCTATGCTGAAAATGACAGATGCTTGACACGTCTGTGACTTCTCGTCCATTGTTTAGATTTTTTTTTTTTGTTTTGTTTTTTTTTTTTGTCTCATTAATTTCCTTGCCACTGACTTATGCGTTCCACCTACAGGCACATTATAGCGCTGCAGTGGCAGCTGACAAAATGTATTTGGGTTATGAAAATCCCAAATAATAGTCTGTCCACCCCTACGATTCTGTGCAAAGTAAACAAACAAGACAACAGACAATATTCATATAACTGTGTTTGACTAATCTCCATGGTTTCACATGTGGGCGTACAAAAAGGCTACAGAGTGTCGTTAAAAGCATAGTTGACTAGGATAATTGAAATTGAACGAAATGTTGATGACCTTTTCCTTGAGGCTAACAGCAAGACGTGCTCAAAACTTTTTGCAAATAATAATCCCACTGAAAATCGTGATTAGCTTGATTGAAATAGTGCTTTTATCACATTCTTGACTGATTTTTTTAAATACAAATAATGAATACAAATATTATTAAATAATATATATATTGCACATACGTACACAAATATGTTTTTGTGTACCTATTTGCTTCTGTTGACGTAAATATCTAATGTATCATATAATGGCTCAACAACTTCTCTGTTACTGAGGCCAGTTTGGGCCTGTTCATGGAAGTAGCCTTTTCTCTTTGTTCGTAGTGACATTTTAGGGAATATTTGAGGACTTGGTTTCATACTGAACCACCTGTAGACAACAACATATATTTGAATATTAGTCGTACTCTGACATTATGAACTCATGCTGGAGTTTAATGCATTACTTGGAGGTAAAGTAAGTGTACATGACATGAGGGTGGCTGTATTTTTTGTTGTTTTAAAGAGACATTTCAGATTTAGCCATATTCACAAAAAGGAGTTGGCAAAAAAATGCTTCCTTGAAAATCATCTCCTGCTCTCGGGGGGAAAAAACAGTTTATCTCAGATCAGACGTGTCCATGTTAAAGGACGTGATGTGCTGAGGCAATGGAAAATGACCCCCCCTGCAGCCTCCCCTTTACTCCCAGCCATCTAAGAACCCTTTTCACCAAGACAAGAAAATTGCTCCCCATTACGTCCCCACTAAGCAGTTTAGGCTGTGAATCCTGGTGGCAAATGAGGTTTTCCTTGAAGAAAACCAAGCCCATGTGGGACTGATTATTATGGGGCTAGCCCAGGATTATTAATCAATGACAGTAATTACCCACCTACCATCGTAGAGAGGCTTAAGGACTGTCTGTAACATCTGTGTGACGAGGAAATTGTCTACTTGCCCCGGTGTTAGAGGAAGTTACTCCTCTGATGGCAGACTAATGATCAAGTGAAAATATGTTGTCAAATGAACGGAGCGGAGGTTACTAAGTTGTGAATATAGTACAGGGGGAGGAGAGAGAGTTCATTATCATCACTTCAATTAGACCACTTGTGTTGTAGACAATGTGATCACATGACATTATTACATGGATGTTTTATATTAGCAAGCAGCAGACTCATGACACATGGTGACACGCTATTACACATTGTACACATTGTACGTAGTTCTCCTTGTTTATAAGGCAACAGTGAGAGCTGCTATGATATGATATGATATGATACAATGATATGGTACATAGAGACAGTGTCTCTGTCCAGTAGACAGAAAGTTGAGTTGGAGGTGATGTAGATGAAGATGCTGGACAAAGGATGTTGGAGCCAAGAGAGAGGAGGAGAAGAAGACCTCAGAGGAGATTTATGGATGTGGTGAAGGAGGACATAGAGATGGTTATTGTAATAGATGAGAAGGCAGGGGAGAGGGTGAGGTGAAGGCAAATGATTTGCTGTTGTAAGTGAACAGCCTAAGGAGGAAGAAGGAGGAGAAGAAGGAAACATAGTTCCCTGTGTTTCACTATTGGATGAGAGACCTAACCATACAGTACACATCTCAAGGTGAACAAAGGTAATTGAAGCATCTGGCCAGGGACTGAAGTAGAACATCTTTCTCAAAATCAATAGAACAAATTAACTGTCTTTTCTTATTAATAGTTGCTTTTTGCTGCTGACAAATAAAAATCAACTTGTTTTCTTCTTCTTGTTAACCCTGTGGGTTGTACGCCGTAAAAGAAAAACACATTTCTCTGAGTGACAAGGTCATTTAAATGCACCAGAACATGCAGAGACTGAACTCTGACTTTACAGTTATATGATATGGAACGATGATGTGGTGTGGCCACGTTCATATATCATCTGCTCCACAGGTCAAGACTAATAACTTCCTCAAAGGCCTTGTGGGTTAATGTACACTCACACAGTTCAGCCTGAGCTGTCACTGAGAAGCCAGCAGGTATTTAGAATTCAAACCAGAGGTCTGCCTGAGAAAGTTAATGTCCCTGTGGGACATTTAAATAGACACTGTTTGTTTTTCTCTACAGTTTCATCTGAAATCTTTTACCCGTTTCTTTCCCCTCCCTGGGGCTACTTTAGATTGACAGTTCAAAAAGTCTGCACTGTTTATTGTTTGTTTGCTCCATTTTCCTTATTCATTATTGCACGAGTCTTAGAATATGCCTTAAATAATAAATCATATTTTGATTAAAAGGAAAAAAGGGACACATTTTATCATTATGGTGTCAACTTTACAGTTTCATTTCTTTTTGTTGTGTGCACTTTGAGTTTCAACCAAAAAGTTCAGTCATTCATACTTCAGTTTCACACTGTGGCTGCAGTCAATCCCAGCAGTCATTGGATGAGGGTTACTGTCTGTGTAGTTACCAGTCCAGCAAAGGGTCACACTCACAGTCATACCTATGGTCTCTTTAGGGCAGGGGTCACCAACTATATATATCGGAGGACCGTTTAAATAAAATGTAACAAAAAAAGATTTTTTTAAAAATAGAGTCATAACTGATAGTTATTTTAGTCTCAGTTGTTTTTCAGCTGCTTTATTAGTTGAGACCACACAATTTTCTTTTCGATATCCTCACAAATTTGGAAACTAGTTACAGGCCAGATTGGACAGTTAGGTGGGCCGGATTCAACCTGTGGTCTGCCAGTTGATGATCATTGATTCAGGATGTCCAAATTACTGGACAATACAGGAATACCTGAGCAAAGCCTATTCAAGTGTTGGTCTTCTTGCTCTGAGGCAGGGTTGCAGCTCCAGAGCCATTTCCATGCTCATCATCAGAATACTGGCAGATCTTAGATGACTCTTCAGTTGACAACTAAATATTCCATTTCCTAACTGATGACCATTACTAATAATTTTTCATTTAGATAGCACTACGGCTAATGCTAATTTAGATTTTATTTAAGGTCAACATTTTAAGATGCAATCGTTTCACCGACCTGAAGTTCATTCATCTTAACCAAAGCAACAGTTTCTGAAGTGGTTGCTGCAGCTAACTGTGTCTCTGACGGTGTTTATTTTCAGTTTATTTGTTTGTGAGAGGTGAGACTAAAGGGAACATAAAACACCTCTGAGAGATGCACCCTACTTCAGCTCAGCTCCTTCTTCACCCACTGCTCCCTCCCAGTGAAACGAGCGCCTCTGGTATTAACTGTAACTGCACCTGTGCTAATAATACTAATCGTCAGAGTGTGGTAATTTTTTCTCCCCGATAGCACGAGGAGTTTTTCCCATGCCCTATTTAATGCCAGAC